GTAAAATTATAAAATTTGATATTTAACATTGTCCCACGCATAATACATCAATTCGAGAAATATTGAAATAAAATAGCTTTGCTCCTCACTTCTAGCGGTAAACCACCAAGTGCAAATGGTTAATAAACAAATTCATCCGATAGTGATATCGGCTTTTAACACGTTGACTGCCACGGTGGTCACCGGAGCTTCCAAAGTGCTGAAGAACAATTACACTAAAAAACTTGATTTTAAATAAAAATATTTAGTAATATAAGTAGCTACATCATAGTGTAATATTACTACTGCGATACTAAACCATTAATAATTATTTTCAATATCATTTGCCTTTGTTATTAACCCTTAACACTTCAGGTTGTTTTGTAATCTATCAGCAACTGCAACTAATTGTTATAGTATTCCTAGCGAAAATGAAAAATGCTATAACATATCTTCGATCTTTTATTTTCCTTCTTAGTACAAAATCTGGGCGCGTGGAAAATCTAATAATTTTAGGGTAGTTTCTTTAAGATTCATATCATATTTAACCCTTTGCGAACGGATGTCGGCATTTCGGTGAGGTGAAATGTTCAGATTTGGAAGACGTGGAAAAATGATCTAATTAGTCGAACAGTAAGAGATCAGCACGTAGTTTTTTTTCTATTAATTAAACAATTGATATATAATTTAGCTTCTTCGTCTTATCAATTTAGAATCTTCGTCCGCAAACGGTTAATATTATAACTGGTGCAGTATTGGAGCCTACAGAGTTCAAAGGGTTAAAGAATAAGCATTACCATTCAAGGCGCTAGAAATTCTCGTGGCAGTGAACGTGTTAAGGCCTCGTCTATGAACGATGAGTATTCATCGAGCCCGAGACGTAGTCGCGCTGAAAATCCGATTGCAATGAAAATTCCAAGAAATAGCCAGGGGAAATATATAACGTCGTCGAGGGAAATGGCAGAAACGGAAACTCGCGTGGAACAGTTTACCCGGCTTGTCGCGTAAATGATTGGAACACGACCCATGGGCGGCTAAAAGCGGGCACAGGCTCGGCCAGAGGCAGCCGTGAATTATTCTTATCCCGTGTAAACATTAAACAGGTCCAAAGTTTACGTGCACCGTAGGACCGGGGACTTACGAGGAATGAAAGAAAGTTCCACTTTTACCGCGACTCCTTTTACCTGGCAGCCAGGCATAATGCTTGCAGCGAGCACGGCTTAAACATCGTTGCGTCAACATGCCTGCATTTTTCGAATCAATTTTTCCCGCGTCGCCGCCGACCGTCTGTGCGCGTATGTAACGTGTAAACAGGCCCGGCAAAAAATAAAAGTAACGTAACCGAGGCGATTAAAGAAATGAACGCGTTCCAGTTCGGATTCCTATATATACTCGCGATAAGTAGGCTATAACAGGCTTACACCGTCGCCGCGTGTACGAGGTGTACCGGAAGTTGGGTATCTTGATCGAATATTGTCGATAAAAAATTAATATTCGACTTCCAAGTAGACGCGTATCGTATTTATAGATAATCACTGATCAACGATCACCTTTTTAATTAAGAGGATTTCGGGTGACGCGTTCGATGGAATTCGATTGGTTTACGTAATTCTAGGGATCGATCATGACTGGAAAAATAATGGCCGAGCCTCTTGGCCGCTGAAAGTGGAACGCTATTTTGACATCCACTTTACGTATAGTTTTTTACTGGTTCATCTTATATCTGCCCCAGTTGCTCGCCGGCGCGAATGATTTACGCGTTCAAAATGGACAATCACGAAAGTCATTCCTTCGTACGGCACGTGGAATCCGTCTTTTCATCGTAAACACGTCGGAAAAAAAGGCCGTCGCGTTCTTTACCGTATCCCGAATTTTACCGCCCTCTGCGAGTTGCTTCGAGGTTAACACGAATGCCGCGCGATTTTGTAGAGCGAAATACACAGAATGGAAAGAATATAATGTTAAATCATTTGTTTGAATTGCAATTATTATTATTGTACGTTGATCTAACTGAATGGCACCGCATTTGGTGGCATTATTTATAATGTAGAAATGTTTTCGAATAATCATCGTTTAATTGAATGATCTATAGTAATTCATTTTGGTTTGGGGGTCACCGGTGACCCCCACGGCACTCAAAGTGTTAAAGAAAGTTCCTCTCGGACGAAACAAAAAGATCAATTCCAATATTTTTGTAAAAATATTTTATATATTTTATGTATTTCATATATTTCATATATTTTATATACTTTATATACTTTCACAATGTACTTATATTACGTACAAATAACCGACAAATTCCTGTTTACAATCGTCCCAGTCATCCTGTACGTGTTCTATGTTGTTGTTTCGTTTTTATTGAAAATGGCCACACTGAGAAGTGTAATAATTGGAAGGTTTTGAACGCTCCACTGAAAGTGAGGTATGTCGTTATATTCGACGGCCTCAAGCTGGCTTCGAAATAAACGATATAATCTGCAAATAACTTCGCTTTCATGGATTACGTAATGGTCATCCTTATGCCCTACTTGCAATACATTGCGAAACAGGAGAGAGGGGTTTTATGTAATAAATGGCGAAAAGATGTCGGGTACATTAAATCTTCCACGATCACTTGTAAACTATTTTCGTGCAATGAAATGAGCCTATTCTCAAATATTCCCATCAACGAGTATAATTACCGACTCGAATAAATGATAATTTCACGTTCCATGGCACAACTACGAACTTGACATTTAACCTATAACATGCATACAACTATAACCTTTTCAGAAACATCAGTGAAATTTCATTAAATTTAACCTTTTGTGGACGAAGATTCCCTGAAATATACAAAACCCTCAACAGATGAAGCTAAATTATATATTAATTACTTGAACAATTAAAAAAACAGAAAACTACGTGCTGATGTCTTGCTATTCGAGTAATTAAATCATTTGCTTACGACTTACTCCTGCAAATATGAAAACTTCATCTCGTCGAAATGTCGAAATTCGTCCGCAAAGGGTTAATTGCTCGAATTTCCAACCGCCTCTGCGATACACACGAGTCGAATTAAGTCGTTTTCGGATGACGCTATCGCTGTAGATTATAAGAGCTTATCTACCCTTCCGCAGACCAGCTCGTCCTACTATGTAAACTTAGCCTAATGAATAACCTCCATAGAGATCACGAAATTATTCCTGCGCGGGAAAGTGCGTGTTTCCTAACCTAACCCGGATGACATCTCCCCTTTCCGGCAATTTCATTTATTAATTACAATGTAATTATCCGTAGACCATCGAAATTTCAAAAATGAATCGCTACGAAGGAAGGTGTTGGACCAATCAGTAATGAAAGGGGCCCACATTTGAATTAATTAAAAAGGTCGGCCGTTCTGGCGACACTTGAAACGTTCTTAACCGAGTGACACAATGAACCCTTCGCATTGTGTGCTCGCAGGAACCAATTAAAATACTTCCAACATTTCACCTTAAGGGAGAGAATACGGTTAAAGGAGTACTGGTAGAATTACTTACGTTCCGGTTCTTTTTTTCAGTACTAAAATATATGTGTATACACAAATATATATGTAATACACACAAAATACTTCAGATGATATGTAATTAAATTAAGTAAAAGATTAACACTAGAACTACCAAGTCAAGTTCACTTTTCTAAATTTCTCTATAGAAATCAACAGTGCATCTAGACTTCGATCACTCAAAACTTAGTTTGCGTATCACTAAAACAATTTCTTTAAAAATTTCTTAGAGAAGGATCTATTTTCCAATAATTGTAAAAGAATTTAGGAATGGGTCATTTTGATAGTTCTAGTGTTAATGAAACAAAATAATCCTTCGTACACTTTAAGTACTTCACGACACGATCACGACAAATGACACACCTTCTATAGAAACATTACAGTCGACATGCTAATGCACACCCACAGAAATAGCATGTGTGTGTGGGCAAGGGGTTAAAAGCGGATGAATTCTAGAAGGTAGGAAACAGTTATACTTGCTGGTCAAACGTAGGCGTAGACACGGGTTAATTGACAAATCGATAGTTCTCCGAACATCGAGCTAATCGGGTGAAAGACCCTTCGCGGAGGTACAACGCGAAACACAGAAAAGAAACCCTCCTCGACGGCCATTAAAGTCGTTGATGAAAGACAATTCCGCTCATCCCTGTGTAGAGAGCACGGCCACGATATTATATCCGATCCGTGTGCATTGTAATCACGGAGGACCCGTGTTGAACACAAAAAAAAACGTCTCGACTACGCATAAGAGCTGGAATGACATCTGTTGGGTACAGCTCACTAGTGGCCTGTTCCAAGCTCGGGAATGATACCTAAATAAAATACGTGGGAACGATCTGAACATCGCTGCATCTGGACGGTCGCAATGACATTTTGAATTTTGATCTCGTTATCGAACTAAGTCGAACGATTTTAATATGTAGAAATATTTCATGAAAATCCTCCGTGAAATTCACTTATATAACTCCGGACACTTTAATATTTCAAAGCACGCAGCATGTAAATACTGAAATATTGATGACTGAGATTAAAAGTAATGCAATGTTAAGACGATAGTATCGCTTAGGTATTCCAGACGATGCTGATCGCAGATACGTTAAGATATTTCATATTGGCCTGATCCTTTCTCAGATACCGCTAATTTGTACGTGTACACAAGTGGCAGAAACACTCGATTAAAAGCGGTATGACAGTTGTAAGAAAAGTAATTATCGGAGGCTCGTCGCTACCCTCCCACTTGTTCTTATTGCGAGAGATAACGTATCGGTCCGCGAAGGGTGGGACGCCACTGATTTTACGAATCGATCGTTCTATTGGAAGCGAACGTGGGCCAGAAAGATTCTTCGGTGTAATCTTTCTGATCGACTGTTAAGACTGATCCGTCGTGGAAGGGAAAACGTAAACGTAAACGTAAACGGATCAACGAATTCCGAGTGCATCCCTCGAAACGACGCGCCATGAAATCGATAAACTGTACGAAAAGGACACTGCGACTCACCTCGGATAAAAATGCTAGATCTTCGCTGCGAGATCAGAGTTTTTTTTGGTGTCCTGTCTGACGGAACACAGTCAGGAAACACTTGTTCGCAGAACGAAGATAGGGCCGGTTCCGTTGAGGCGTGCCGGTTAGGTCTTCTGTTCGCGAATTTCACACTAAAGGACAGGATTTACTTGGGTAAACTGAATGCTTGTCGTGGCAACGAAGTGTCTTGTACTTTATGCTCTCAGGCTTGGTAGAATCGCGTGTTTCACGGTGCAGAATCGTTCGATGACTTACAGCCTGTGTGCCCGATTGTACTTGCCTCTGCACGAGTATCATACCACTTAGAGAGCACCTTCGCGCATCGACTGGCAACTACGTATATTCGTACGGAGTACGGATCACCGTTGCCTGTCTCCGGAACCAGAGCAATAGGCTCCCTCTCCCTCCAGCAACAGCCAGCGACAACTGGCGACGGACAGCAATGACCCTTTCTCGCACCCTCCATCGAATGGTAAACTAGGACTGATGACGCGCTTTGGTTGGTGGTTGAAAATTCGAATTGTTCCCGCCTTATTCGGCTGCGATTGTTTACTACTCTGGTTACGCCTGTATTCATGAATTTCGAATGTTTTTTTTTGTAGAACTGTTAACATAAAGTCACTGAAATGAATGAAATGAAGAACATAATGAAACTTGATATGCTGAAAGGATATAAAGAATTTAATTGTTTGAAATTCAGATAGCTTTGAAAGACTACTTTATTAAATACATGTGTATAAATAATTCATGTGAAGTCTTTCATGGCTGGTGTTAAAGTCATCAAAGCATTTTCCATATTTTTCCTTTCAAGATTAGTTTTTAGAGTACTCCATACTTGTTCTAATTTTGTTTGCTGGTATTTCTAAAAAATTAGTATACTTATGTATAATGAAAATATATGTAGATTTTGTCAAATTCATGTAGGCATTTAGAATTTTTATTAGATATTTATAAGATTTCTGTACCTTGATAAAGAGGAAACAATGTTTTAGTGTTGCTCCTACATAAAGTATTTTTACTGATACAAAGCGGCCTGCAATGTCATTTATCAAAGGAAGAGACTTTAATAAAAATCTATGTGGACCGTGTCTGGTTTTCACTAGCGCTATTCTTGTATGTTCATTGCAATATTTCGCTAAAAATATAAGAAATCATAATATTAATTGGTTATAAATAAAATATCATATTAAAGATTTCATATTACCACTAAAACCAGCTTTTATTGCTGCCACGCCAAAATCACCATATAATTGTTGTACTTTCTGTTGTATTGCATAATGCAGTGTTGTGATTTTCAGCGGAAACTGTTTATCGGATTTATCACCGAGTGTTATTTCAAATGCTATATACCTGTGAATGCGTTTATCTTATCGTAAAAGATATGTTATGGTAAAAAATGAAAAATACTTATAAGTATTCTGTAACATTTTATTTGCAATAAATTACTTTACGCAATCAATAAATGTTAATTATATTCGATAAATTGTTGTATTACCTGTTTTTAAAACGAACCATCTTTTAGGTTATGTAACTCGTTAAGTGAGGAACATATTACAATGACTCTTCTTGAAGCCAGAGTACATGCTAATTATATAAACGAAGCATTATTTTATAGTAATTAACGACACGATATTCACAAATTATACACTTTACAACGCACGTGACATAAAAACATTACCCACGTGTGTTGTTTTCGATCACTCAGTAGATAAGGTTCAGCTAGGTCGCTGTCAAATGCATTCACACGTGCGTGCAATATGGAGTATATTTTCAACTCTGTTTGTTAACAATTAGATTTTAGATTTTTCATTCAAAATGCACTGTTAAGATTTTAATACTTCGACTGTCTAATTTTCAATAATTATCCGAAGAGTCAGTAGAGTTTTATCAATACTGAAATACCTATGCTATGCAACGATGCGGTGTAATTATTCAAGGTAACAGTCGTAGCATTTTTTATGCACACGTGTTTCTTTATACGGAAGTACGTATCGTCAGTCTTACGTAATATTGTTGTACTTTGCCTTCAGTGTTAATTCTATTGATTTGATATTCATGTATAGTCTTAGATCTGAGCATGTCTGACAGCTTAAATAATTAAAATACTAAAAAATTTGATTGGTAAGTATTTCTTTTCATTGTACCATCTTTTTTCTTCACGTGTGTGAAATATAAAGAAATTTCATTGGCAAGAGATATTTACTTGTGTTTCTTAATTCTGTCAGTGTTATCACAGGGTCATGTGATATTAAAAAGTAACTCTATGATTACAGTTAAGCTCTGTTGATAAGGATTCTGTGTTCTTAATTTACAACTTATAATGATACTGTTCAAAGTAGAACATTCAGTTGGCTGCTCCTAACAAAAGACACACAACATTCAGGAGACTACATCAAAAGAGTAAGACAATGGAATACTTTGTTGGAGTGGATGTTGGAACCGGTAGTGCCCGAGCTGCTTTGGTATCCTCTAAAGGGAAAATATTAAAATTAGCAACATGTCCACTTGAAATTTTTCATCCAGTTCCTAATTTTTATGAACAATCATCTGATAATATTTGGAGTGCAGTTTGTCATGTAGTAAAGGTATTAACAAACACATTTATAAAATATATTCTTGTTATAAAAATATTATACTTTTTATAGTCAGTGGTAGCTGACATTTCTGCAGACAATGTAAAAGGTATTGGATTTGATGCTACCTGTTCATTGGTAGTTGTGGATAAAACAGGATCCCCAGTTACTGTCAGTCCCACGGGTTTGTACATTATAATATCATAAAGGTGATTCTATTTAAATCTAATATGCTTTCATCATTATAATTTTTAACTTAGGAGAAGATAAACAGAATGTTATACTATGGATGGATCACAGAGCACAAGAAGAAGCAGATTTTATAAATGCCCAAGGTCATGAAATTCTTCAGTATGTTGGTGGCAAAGTATCATTGGAAATGGAGACCCCAAAAATGTTATGGTTAAAGAAAAATCTACCTTTATCTTGGGAACGTGCAGCATTGCTCTTTGATTTGCCTGATTTCCTAACATGGAAAGCAACAGGTTCTGAATCAAGGTAATCACATCATTGTATGTCATCATAAAAATAGAACAACACAGTGTACCTTGCTAATCTGATTTTAGATCCTTATGTTCTTTAGTATGTAAGTGGAATTATATTGCTGATCCAGATGGTAACAATGGATGGAATGAAGAATTTTTTTATCAAATTCAGTTGGGTGATCTTGTGAAAGACAATTGGAAAAAAATAGGTATTAATACAAGTTTCTATATCAATAAAAATTATTTACACATGAATTGATCTACATGTCTGGTAATTAACTAATATTAATACACAGAACGAAAATTATATTACACGTGCAAAGTAGTTTTTGACAAGTTAATGGGTCTGTTTTATGTTCAGACAGATAGTATGAAAGTATAAACGTCATTTTAACTATTTTTATTTAACAAAGAGAACTATTAATACGAAGGTAAAGATGTGAGGACTCCCGGGGATCTCATTGACCAAGGATTGTCAGCTAAAGCTGCATCTGAATTAGGACTTCTAAAAGGCACTGCCGTGGGTACTTCACTTATTGATGCACATGCTGGAGGACTGGGCATGATAGGATGTTCTGTACCTGGTTCATCACCCAATGTACAAAGAAGATTAGGTAAAATTTGTGTTCACTGCACAGTTGTCACTCACATCTCTTGTTTCAACTGTACAATGTTTTATTGTATTTACAGCTTTAATTTGTGGAACTTCAACTTGTCATATGATAGTGAATGAAAAGAAGCTTTTTGTGAATGGTGTTTGGGGACCATACTACAGTGCTATGGTTCCAGGATTATGGTTGAATGAAGGTGGTCAAAGTGCAACTGGAAAGTTGCTAGATCATATAATTGACACTCATCCTGCAACACCAGGAATTTTAAAAAGTTTAAGAAATAAGTAAGTTTATTTGTATATAAAACTAATTGTACATTTATATAAAATTTTATAAATTTTACTTCTTATTATATCATTTCCTAGACACATACAACAATACTTGTCTGAATTATTGCAAGCAATGGCAGATCAGAAGGGTCTGAAGAATATTTCATATTTAACAAAAGAGATTCACGTTTGGCCCGATTTTCACGGAAATCGCTCCCCACTGGCAGATCCAACTCTCAAAGGAATGGTAAAAAATATTTTGTTATGCATTTAAGAATCGTTCTTCTTATAAACTTTTATCACTGAATATCATGCAGGTATCAGGGTTATCTTTGTCTGTTGATAAAGAAAATCTGGCATTATACTATTTGGCAACAGTACAAGCATTAACGGTATGAACACCTCCGGTAATATATATGTATATATTTGAACATTTCTACCGATCAAAAAGTATATTTTACATTTTTTATCAAACAGTATGGGACAAAGTACATTTTGGAAACCTTAGAAGCTAGTGGTCACGAAGTGAAGGAACTACTAGTATGTGGAGGCCTAAGTCAGAACCCTCTGTTCATTCAGATACAAGCAGATGTTTTAGGTTTACCTGTACTTTGTCCTGTTGAGAGGGAATCGGTGCTGATAGGAGCGGCAATTCTAGGATCTTACGCAGCTGGAAAATTTAATACAATGAATGATGCTATTAAAACAATGGGAGGATCTGCGAATATTATTAAACCAAAAAATGAATGTTATAAGTATGCAATTATATTCATTAAGGAATACTTGAAACATAGAAGAAACTTAAAGTGTTCATTACATTATTGTTTTTAAGGTACCATCAACAGAAATATCAAGTCTTCCGAAAAATGGTGGAGGACCAGAATAGTTACAGAGAAATTATGAATGGAAATTTTTTGTAACTGCCACCACTGTTACACAGTACCTCTTGAAACTTGAAACACTCCAGCTATGAAAGCAATACTGATACACATATACATAAGTACAATGAAGAATCTCGTAATAAGCAGCTAATATAAGAGACACTCTTTATACTGTTTTTTATTGAATTAAAATATATTTTGTGTATACAACCAATTGCAGAGAAATATTTTTGTTATATATTTTATCTTTTATTTTTGTTTATTATAAATAAAAATATATGTAAAAGTATCTCGCAATGATTTTTGGCAATATTTCTTATACTCATACATTAAACGTGGTATACAAAATTCTATTGCTTTATTTGGTATTTAAGTATGAACTCAAATTTTACATATGTATAATGTCTTACAATTTTTTCATTACAAATGTTTTGGTACAAAACACGCGTCACTTTTCTTATTGCATATTCCTTGTCATAGGTATTTAACAATATTTGTACAAACTTACAGCAGTATTACTACAAGACTAATTGTTATAAAAATATTAAAAGTTTCTTAATCAAAACATTTTTTACGAAAAATTTCCTTCTGTATCATTATAAAAGTTTATAAAACGATGTCACTAACTATTTAGAGATAAAAACTACTAGTATGTAGTGTAATATTGTGCTAATTTCACTTAACTTATGTCACAAAGAATATTTTCTTATATTTCTAACTTGCAATAGATCATTTTTAGCATAGAAAGTAACGTTGATATCACATAGTTCGCAAAATCTTCTAAAAAATTTGACAACCTCGATATTCTATACATTTTACAGACGTGATTTAAGAAACAAACGAAAATAATATTTGCATATCACAAAGTCGGTTTATCGCAAAGGCATTCCAGTGAACTAAGGCGACAAAACCGACAATAACTAACTTATGTTACAGCTGTTTTGCAGTAAATTATTTAAAATAATACTGGTATAAAACTTTGGATAAAACTTTAGATCAATATTAAATATTACAATTCTTGTACGTATTAATAATATAAATTGAATTACTTATGGTTCTTTAACTTAATTTTAATTCAAATTCTGGTACCAATTTTGCACCCAATATTATAAATTTCATTGAAAACGAATCAAATCTGTATAAAACCACTTGAATGAATGACACTGCAATTTTTTTAATCTTAACCTGCTTCTTCGTATAAATGAGTTTTATATAATTTTTTTGTGAGTATTAACAACTATATCAATTGTTCATTTTAATCAAATGTTAGAATTGCTACTGATTTTCAAATAATTTGATATTATAACAATATCATCATCAGTCTTTTAGCAGATAATTTTCAAACTAAATTTATAAAAGTGAAAAATATTAAGCAAAGAGTACCCCTCAAATGTGCTTTAACAAAGACAAAATTTTATACAATGATATAATTCTAACTAGTTAACAATTGTCATAAACATTTAACTTGAAAATTATTTATATTTTGATATTTGGAAGACACAAAGTGCGTAGTTTTATTAAACATTATATTCTCCTTCTTATGGAGATATTGTTTCATATATATATATATATATATATATAGATATATATTATATCTAGTCTTAATTTCAGTAAGGCCATTTGTGTAATTTGTATAATTAGGATATCATAAAAGTGTCATCAAAATGACAATTATCATCCTACATTACGAATTCAAGTTTGAATGTGATTTTTATGAAAAAAAAATTATTCATTAACAATTGATATTGCTTGTAGTAATTGGAGAAATAAACCTAAATTAGTGAAAACGCTATATTAATTCCGTTTAGACAAAGCGATAACGTTCTGCAATATGATTAAGCATGTACTGAAATGCCATGGAAGGAGACGTACCAAATCTCTGCCTCCATAAATGTTTAGCTATAATACGTTGTCCCAGATTATGAGTAGTTTCTTGAATTTCTTCACAAATTTCAACACTAGTTTGCCAAATTGTTTCTAGGAATATAAATAATTTCATTAATGACACTGCATCAAACTCTTCCTAAAGTGAAGTACCTAAAGAAAAGGTACATATCATACATACCTAAGTTAGTTAGAAGTTTATTTTTACCAGGTGGATCAAATTTCTGTAACTGTTCTACACTAATTACTTTGTATTGCTTTAATTCTTGCAGCAATTCATAGTTGCAGCAACGAGCACGACTGTTTGCTACAATGTAACTGCCAGGGGCACTGTGTTTTGTAATTTCCTTTAGAGCTTCTTTCACCATATTGCATTTATCGATTTCTCCTTGAGACTTATCCACTTTGATTGGCTACAGTACAATAAATATTAAGAATAGAAAGCAAATTAAAAGTAACACTTATATATAGCATATGCATACCTCCGGGACTGCTTCAATCATATGTAACCACATGCGAGTCGGTATGGTGTTTGCTTCTGCAATACAAACTATTGTATGAGAATTATTATTGCGCTTCTTAGCAGTAGTTACATCAGAAGGATTCTCAGTCATATAGCCATTAGGAAATTCATCCACAATTAATATTGCACTTTGACCTCCCAGAATCCAATCTTGCGGATGTGTTGCTACATAATTTTCAGAAACCTCGTCACATCTTTCATAGACTTTCTTAACAACATGTTTCTTTATCTCTGAGAAGAAATGAGGATATTCATAGTTTATCTTATATTACCACAAATGAATTACACAAATATATTATGAAAATCTTTGCATACCTAAATAGTTGGCAGTGAGTTCACTAGGTATCATTTGACACCATCCTAATATCAACTGAAGGCACATTTTCAGGTCACACTTTATACCAAAAAAAAAAGAATTTTCTCTTATAGATTGTTTTCTAGCACAATTGGGACATGACCAACTATATTTATCTACAATTCTTGCTTGATTCCAAGCCAAACTTCTTCCTTTACACTCAGGATGAGGACAATTGGAAACAGTCCTAATTAAACTCATTTCTTTCAGCCACCCACATAATTCTCCTTCGTGTCCCTGTTGAAGCATTGGACGTACCACAACATCAAAATATCCTCCTTGATCGCCAAAACGCTCCATACATTGTCTGAAAACAAACAATCAAATTAGAATAAAGAAGCAAAAGAGCCTTTCTTTCGTGTATTTTGATTGACCTCTGTGCAGAATATCATCTACAGGGAATGAAAATTTTATGACAAAATTCACGTCTATCATTAGCTCTGTTAATTTATATAAAACGTATGTTACGTAATTTTGAAATAAGAAGAAAAACAAATACGTTTAGTCACACGTGAATGAAACAAACTCGTGGCTCCCATCGTACGTGAGCAGTAGGGGGAAAAATCAATACTCTCAAGAGTTAAATATAACTTCCTTATTCTTAATATAATAAAGACAAATGTATGCAAACATCTCGTACCGAGTGTTTGAAAATAACAGATTAGCAAAAAGGATAACATATGTGACACTATGAAGAAATAATTAAAGAAAGAAAATTTTTTTGATGTAGCAGAAGCAACAAGTATTTTAAGATCCGAACTGTTTTAATGCACTGAAAATGCATTACCTTGCTTTAACTTTTGTGTTTTTCATTTTCGAAGCAGAAATCACGTTCATCCGTCACTACACAACTCCAAAGAAACAAACAAAAGTCTATAACATTTTTAAACAAACTAAAATGTAAACAAAAATAGAGGAAACCAACAAGGAACCACAAAAGACCCGGGAGCAACGTCGATGTTACGCATCCATCGCGCAGCGACTTATACGGACGTCGAAATATGCATTAACCACATTTCGATGCATTCTTAGCTCGGCCGATAAAGAAGAGAATAAATTAGTCTGCAGATTTGTGTTATCTTCTGATTAAAAAAATCAATCGGACGGTCTACGTTTTATTTTTAAATTTATATTTGTCATTTCACATACAAAATAATAATTATTTATTAGTTTATATTTTCAATGTCGATTTCAGTACCAGATATTTCTTATCAAAGCATAATTCTCACATTCGAGGCGTAAATTTGAATTAAAAGAAGACGTTTCGATTAAATACTTTGTATTTCCTCTTTGTTTTTATTATGAACATGTTTTACAAAGCAAAATTGTGTAATGGTGGTAATGGTGGATGTCGGTGGAGGTTGGAAACTATAGAATCAGTGTTAGTGGGCCATAATTTAACAAGACTCCCAGAAAAGTGAGTGCGGATAAAGGGACATCGGCACAGTAATATAAAAAGTACTCTCCAAGAGACAGCATGAAGGATTAGGCCGGCACATTCATTCACCACTTGTTCTACATACACGCAAAGTTCACTGCACTTTCATATGTATGCATTTAAAACAATGAACATACGATACCTGTTTCCCATTTCTCAAAGCTTTTAAACTCCACCTGAATTTTTTTTTTCGCGTGTCCATTACTCAATCTATGCTTTCAGAAATGTCTAGCGCAATAAGAGCTGATCAATTTTTGTACACTTGTTTCACAGTTACACTTTTGATCGATTAGTTTCATTATCGAAATAAAAATAAACTTTTTTCTCTCTTCACGCTCTACAATTATTGCTACCTTCGCCTTGGTATATTACACGAAATACATTGTGTACTTCTGTCTTATAAAATACATGCTCCGAAAGATGAACGTCCTTCCAATAATTAAGATCCCAATTTTGTTCGCTATACGTCTAAAATTTTGAATTAAATCTATTACAGATAAGTAACGAAGGTAGCGTGCGAAGCTACCTAAAAATAAACCTGTCCAATTCACACATGCAGTGTCCGAGACAAGGGGTCCTAACGGAAATGAAATACATTAAAATTTCACTGTTGTACAGACTGGTCTAGCACGAAAAATGATAAGTCAATATCCAGTGTATGAATCTTTTTTTTTTCTTTAATGGCCAACGTTAAAAATCAAACGTGTACATTCGGGTTACTAGAGGGAGAACACACGACGGTTCCGATACCTCTTGTGTGATAACAGTGACTCGTGATGTTACACTGAACTCTATTTAATATTTACAAATGAGATCGATTATTAAAAAATAATGAGCAATTATTATTTTGTTCCATTCTTTTTTACCTCTTTTGTTTTTAATCATATTTTCATTTAATACATCGTGGTGCGTGCATAGGAAGGCGCAGTCCAAATGATCGTTTCACAACAAAAATATTATTCAGTCATACCACACCCTGCAAGAGCCGACGAGAACGTGAACATGTTAAAATACGGTTTTTTTTTCTTTTCACTAACAATAATGGCGACTGGCAGACAAACAGACAGTTTGGCAGGCATGGTGAACATAAAATCAAAGATGTACGCGCGACACAAGTAACTTTTTTACCTTTCTCTCCCTATCATTCTCTCGCGATCGATTTCTCTCTTTCTCTCTCACTCTCTCTCTCTCTCTTTCTCTCTTTCTTCCTCGCATTCATGTTTTATCGCTCCCTCTTTTTCTCTCTCACTCTCATTCCCTGCACATTCTTCGCTTCTCTTAGTGTCATTACTCTTACATATCCTTACATTCTATGTTCATGAGGTCCTATAATATTGTAACATAGGCTTTAGTACACTATATCGTAAGCTATACTAGAATCTACCGCCGCTGCGTCGCCAACTACACACGAAACAGCGGTCTTAATTAATATTAGGAATATCGGCAGTGAAATTCCAATGATAGACGCGGCAGGCAGGCAGTCAGTCCAGCAAAGTCTGTGGCACTTGCGCTGCTCCGGTGCATAACAGATTCGAAACTGATCGATCGGGGTGCCCCGCGCGTTAATTTTTTACCATTTATCGTGGACGTACACAAGGGGAACGTCTCAAGTGGATGAATGAATTGAAAAATTAAGTGGGGCACCCCACTATTCGAACAGAGCGATCTCGGGTCTTTATCCTTTCTGTCATGGCACCATCATCGTCATCATATTCATCACCATCGTTTCTTATCGTCATCATTCTCGGTCTTATACTCTGTCTTTGTTCGTTTCCTTCCTTGTCTTGACCTACGTTCTTCTCTTCCCTTTCTCCTTCTTCCCTTATCAATTTATTTTTGCTGCTTATGTTTTCTTCCGTTATTTTTTTTGAAAAATAATTTCTTTACAATACTTCTTCATGTGTCCGATCCGCAGCAGAGCGGATCACCGGTGTCATCGGTTGTCGCTTGTCGACGAATCGATCAGAAACAACGAAAAACAGCGTCGAATTGTCCGAAACATAAAGAGTTACTAAGATTACAAATCACAAATGAAATCACAGACTTTCGTTGGTGGTTTGACAGAGGGTAGGGGGCCGCAAACATTTGCAAGTGGAACAACATTGTAGGCGTATCATCATCGACGCCGTAGTTGTCGTCATCATCATTATCAACATCATCACCATCATCATCATCATATCATCACCATCATAATCATCACCATCATCATCACCATCATCATCATTATCATCATCGACGTCGTCATCAACATCAGGGACAGTCGGATGGGTGTCGATGTTTAGGGATGTACCATGTACTTCTACCCCGACATCGCTTACTCCCATCCATTTTCCTTGATCATATGTGCAAGTTCAATTATAAACTTGCCCTCTTTATACTTCTGGCTCGATTCAAACGCATGCTCCTGAAAATTTCAAAGTGACCTTTTACGGCTGATCTATCTAGTATTTCAGGGCGCCATCTACTTTTCAACGGGACAAGAAAAAACTCACGTATTTCCACCCGAGGGTGGTCTTGCAACATTCGCAGTAAATATCAGCCACAGCATGAAGGCCAGTGAGCAGAACTCGCTCCTCTGCAGGACCACAGCCCACGTTCACCCTGAAATAATGAGCAACCATAAGAAGCTGGAAGGGATGTGAAATCGACTGGTGCAAAGAAGGGGACATCCCCTAATCCTATAGCTCATCTCATCCCTTAATTAGAATCCCCCCTATTACAACGATAACACGATCATCAAGAAGGAACGATACACGCTAGAAAATAAAACAAATACTCCCACTCGAAGCACGAAATCTTCGAAACAATTCGAGCGTAAATTCGAATTGGCCCAACGCGAAACTTCAATGATCCCGCGACGTTTACTTCAAACCCTCTCCGTTTCGCGTGTATTGTACAAAGGCAACAATAAACTAGGCGTTACTCGAAATCTAACAGTTTCGCACACCCTGTATAAATTCCCCGGGTAAAGCGTTCGCGTCCCACTTTCCACGCCGATTCTATCTGGGACTGCGAGGGCAGGCATTAGCATACTTACACTGAATTAAAGAGATAGGCACGACCTTGACTGCCCTGGAAGGACTGCAATCAAAAAGGAAACAGCGTGTTAGCGAAGAGACCGTGTAACGCATCTAAGGTGGCGGTCCTGGAGGTGGGGGTAGCGGGGGTGTGTAGGTAGGTACGTGTATGCGAGTCCGCGGCGCGGACAACAAAAGCGGAAGAACGAATGCGAGAAGTCTGTTCGTTACCTGATCTATCACGGCTCACCTTAGAGATGAGTTCGTCGTGGTTGGCGAGGTGAGCACGGCAGTGAATGCACGAGTAAGTGCGGTGACACGAGGGCAGGTACGCTTGGAAAGTTTTGACCATGATGGCGTGTCCAGAGCAAGCAAGAGAGATCTTCTCCCCTCGCCCTTGTCCGTCTTCTTCCTCTTTTTCTTTGTCGTCGTCGTCGTCGTTCTCCTCTCTCTCTCCTCTCTCCACCGCTCCCTCTCTCTTCCTCCACACTCCTGTTTTTATTCTTCCCTCTCTCGCTTGCTCTCCCTCCTCTCTTCCTCGCCTGTTTCCCTTTCCCTCTATCTCTACCACTATCTCTGTTCCTCTCTGTCTCTCCCTCTTATTATTCTTATCAAGTGCCGTCGAGACGCTTTTCTCCCGTGTGTGGTGAACGTCTGGCCGTTAACCAGCGACGATTATCGAATTGAATTTCTTCCAATCGCGGGGTGGTTGGTGCAATAGTGGCCCCGTTCACCGCCGCTTCGTACTCCGATCAGCTGTTGAGCTGGTTCAGACAGCGCCGGTTCGGGGACACCTGTGAACACGGATCTCGGTGTTCCTATCATTCGAGTTATTTCACTGCCAACTACTGTTCAACTGAATGGATTTTACTTTGGTTTATTTTATTTACACTACAACTAGGCTTAGACTGATCTGGTGTCTTCTTTTACAATTATTGAGAGGGCAGCCGCTTCTTTGGGATGTTATTAACAAATTCGGTAGTGATCGATTGAATTATAAATCAATTGGAATCACAGTGCATTATCAGAGTTTAGATGATAATATTGAAACGGATCGATTTGACTGATCTGTAGTACTAGTGTTAAGAAGTGCCTAGCGACCGAATTCGCAAAATTAAAAACGAAAGGTGTATACGCGAAGAAAGGATTTTGCTCACGAATGAGAACAACGGTCACGTTGTTGGCTGGTAGGTCTCGCGCGCAACTTAATCTCGCCTAGTTAGAACGCCCACGAAGATCCTTGCCGCGGCGTATCGTCGCCGGGCGATCTAACGATCTCGACCGACGCTCAATCTGATCCGCGGGTCCCGCCGTCGGAGGTGACGTCAAAACTAATTCGTTGCGACGAAACGGTGCAAGACCTCCGGCTGGTGGCTTCTCTTTCGGAAACAGGAAGATAAGACTTGCTCGCGTGCTGTTTCGGACTCGCAAAAATATCGATGGGTACGATGCCCGAAAATCGTATTAACCATCCGGAATATATTCAACTTTCACGAGGAATCATATAAAAGATATCGAAACGGAATAAAAATTTGTTTATGTCAAAACTTACGAAATAATCACAGCTTTCGGATGATACTCATTAAATAGTAAAGAACTATTTACGAAATAGTAAATGAAGTTAGCGGGCATTACAGAAATGATCCTAAAACATGTGACAACGATCGCTGAGTCGAATAATCTAACGTAACTTTATTAATTCCAGACAATTGGTAAAAATATTTTACAGCCTTTAACACTAGAACTACCGAGCTTGAACCGTCTCTTGAACATGTCTTTACGAAAGCTACAAGCGTGAATTTAAGATTCCAGTTGGCTTATATTTCAGTTTAGGTATTGCTAAATCAACTTCTTTAATTGTTTCTTACACTTTTCACTTAACATTTCTTGTACGTTCTAAAGTACCCGTACCTTCACAGTAATTCTAAAAGAAGAAATCAGAAATTGGTCATTTTGACCCGTCCGGTAGTTCCAGTGTTAAACATGACCGCGATATTATTTTTACGAAACCACCATTGTACAATGCTACGATAAGAAATCGGCGTGTTCAATGTCACGTCGGTGGATGTCGACGCCGAATTACGAATCGTCGAGCAACGGCCGACGCGCAGAAATGAATTAATTATGATGTGCATGTATAAGGAATATCGACAGTCGCAGAAACTCTCGATTCGGTATTGCCGCACGGTTTCTCGCTATTTACCCGCTATCGTTGTATATTTATTCCGCAACTATCAGTTCCGAGTTATTTATAACGACCTGTTAAATAACGCGCGGCCGAGTATCAAACCACCCGCCTTTACTATGCCACTACAAGTAATGAAAAATCTCGGGACGAGCCTATCAGGGCGGAGGAGGGAGGGCGTCGGTGCGCATCGGGAGAAAGGGCGAGATAAGAAACACGAGCGGAGAGTAGGTACATCTATAAAAGTAAATGGCGGCGCGGGGGAGGGCACGCACGCGAGTCACGAGAACCCGCCACGAACGTTTTGAAGCGCAATAGCATTGATGCACTCTCACTCCGTATCGAGCGACGCCACGTGCTGGCGCGTGTTCAAACAAAGAAAAGAGACAAGGTCTCCATTATGATGTGCTTAAGAGATGGCTTTTTCCTTTATAAAGATGGAGGAAGTGCGGGCCAAGCTCTTTTCTTTTCACGCCTTCGTCCCGTTGTCGCCCATCCGGCGGCACGGGACGACTCGTCGCGACACGAGATTCTGAAAGTTGTCCCCCTACCCCGTCACGCTGGAAATACTCGATCGAGATGAATGGGACACCCTGTTTATCTTCGATTCCTTATTACCTGCTACCTGTTTGCGAAAACTGGTTAGCACGTTCGTAACGCTCCGTGTGATTCCCAGTGGAAATGTTGTCGCCATGATGGGTAGGTGTTGTCATTACTGTTGATTAGCTCGGGTGAGTTGTAATTTCGTTTGTGCATGTAATTGTAGGTCTACGTTGTTTTATCTTTCATTAAAGGAGACCTTGTGTATTGTTCGCGGTTGTAACTTAGTCGTTCGATTTTCGCTGAAATGTTTGTTCACCTGTTCCCCTTGATGAACGAGTTTGCGAATGGACGTAAAGTAGTAAACAGTCTATAGTCGGTGAAGTTTCTATCCTCGTTAGAGTTACAGCAATGAGTAATACAATTGAGAATGATCCAAGCGATAAAATATTTTCGACAGTGTGCACATAAGTGGCAGAGAAGAAAATACGAACGTCGAAGTGGAGATGCGTTTCAAGGACGTTGTACGAAGTGTATCTTTCATTAATATGAATGAAGACTTTATATAATTGTAATCGTCCCGTGACAGGCGTGTACAGCATATCCCCCGAGCCACGTGACATCGTGTGTACACAACAAAGGAGAGTGACAAGGCCTTTGTTTTGATACGCTAAGGAAAGAACAACGAAACGTTCGCCCGGCGGGATGATAGAACGAGAACAACAACCTCCTGTTGTTTGGATTTAGTCGCCAGACGTTTCTGCTGTTTTAACCTGTTCCCGTTCTCCTCGTTCCTCTCCTATTCTGCGTTCCTGTTCTCGCTGTCGAACAGTGGCGATGTCTATGAGACAAAAATAGAGAAACTTTCCTGTTGGTACTAATGGAGTCCTAGTATCATGCACGTTTAACACTAGAACTACCAAGCACTCAAACCGACTTTTCCAAATTTCTTTATGAAACTTACAACCGTGTATTTATTAACCCCTTGTCCTACAACAACGAGTTAGATTCGTGGTGAAGATTTTCAACATGATTCAACAAATATATGTATTACTCAGTTCATTCGAATTTAAAGTAAATATCATTTCTCTGTAATCAACTATTATACTTAAAAGGAAATATAGGCATAACATATGTTTAGAATTTTTCTCTTTTTCCAATAAATTATTAATGACAAAGCAGCCGCATCGACCAGAGTTGAGAAATATATCAGAGGCCAAGGGGTTAAGATTTCAATTGGCTTATATTTCAGTGTAGATATCACTAAATGAGATTTTTTAACGATTTTTCAGAAAAGCATTTGTATCTTTCCAATAATTATAAAAGAAGATATCGGGAATGGATCATTCTGACACATCTGGTAGTTCTAGTGTTAAGAAAAGTTGTTCGAATCGATGAGAAACGGTTTAACAGTAGAACTACCAGTCAGACTGACTGGTTTCGGTTTTTTACTTACCAATTATTGATATCTTAATATTTGGAGTAGTCTTCAAAGGAAATAGTTTCTATTGTTACAATGATCTATTGTTACAATTTGTATACAGACTGCATATTAACTCTTTGCCTTATAATAACGTATGAGACTCGCGGCGAAGATTTCAAGTAGAATTTAACAAAAGTAAATATTACTCAGTTCTTGTGAAGTCAAATGAAACATTCTTCTGTCATCAATCATTATGCTTTGAAGCAAACGTGGGCATCGATATGCCTAGAATTTTTCCCTTTTTTCAACATATTATTAATGACTAAGTAGTTGAGAAATAAATCTCAAGGCAAAGGGTTAAGCATATTAAATGCTCAGTAGTTCTAGTGTTGATGAACAATTGAAAGTATTGAATATTCTAAATATCAGTGAAGAATATTTGGAAATGAAAATTAATCAGCGAAGATTTCTTAATTTAAGGAACAAATTTGATTTTTATTCTTAAATGAAATCAATTAAAATCATTGATAATCAATTAAGAAAATTGTTTAATTTAAAACAGACATCACTTTTGTTCTTTTGTTACAGTGAATAAGTACATATCGTCGTCTAGTTCATTTTCGTGTCTCGAGTTTGTTCTATAGTCTACTTCCTCCGTTCCTGTTTTCCTTTAACCTGGATCAATCGAAACAATGATTCGTAATGGCCTTGCGATAACGGTATACTGCTTTACTTTCCAGGCATATAGCAGCGCGGAATTAACATTTCGGGTGACACAACTGCCAGACACATTTCCTGCTGTATTATTTCTGACGCGTGAGAACCATACCGAAGACTATAAAAGAAACACGGAAGCACGGTGCACGAAGCATTGTTACATTAATGAAAAACATCAGACAGAGTCGATTTGTGGCAGTTTTATGAATAATTGAACGAATCGAATGGTCCGCATTTACGTTCTGTTTCCCTAATACGACGTGGCATCAATCTGTCTGCCGGTATAAAAACATACGCAACATCGACGCCACGTTTATTTACAAATTATTGTAGCTTTAACCTGTTTGCAAGTGGTCACAAAATTAGAAATAGCAGATTCAACGCACCGCTAACAAAAACGCAAAGAAATATAAACGTACCTCGTAATGTAACCGACGTCTGATTCTCCGTGTGAAAATAAATACAAAATGTTAACAATATTTACGTGCGTACTTTGCGTAGTTGAGTACCGCTGCTTCCTACGTTCTATTATTGCCGACGTAACTACTCATATTAGTGTTTATAAACAGTGACAGTCACGGAATTATATGATAGAAACGGATCTGAGATAAGACTGATGGAAAAGGAATGCTATCGTTGATACGCATTAATGTTTCGCGAAAACACGCGTATACAATAGGTTTTCGAATTTGATTGTTTCCATCCTTCACGTGTGTAATTTTTTAGCTACGTATGTTATTTCATATAGTATGCAGTACTATAGAACTAACAGGGACAGATAAAATTTAAA